ACTATACGCAGAGCTTGATAGGCTGACTTTCGAGAGTTGGAGTTGATCATTTTACTTTATGAATACTTGATCGGTGTTGGGTAAACATTGGAGTTTCATCCGAGGTATGGCTGGTTAAGGTTAATGATGAACTGTAATCTATCGTGTCTAACGTGTATAAGTCTGTTTTTCAAAAAAAAGCGAATTCGAGGTATAAAAAACAGCAGTGAAAAATATATTTTACGTGTGAGGGCGAGCGGAGTTGGCAGGTTCGTGAAATGAGCGCTGACGCGGTGAAACCAACATCGGACAACTCCTCCCAGATGAGGCAGGTGAGGGTATTGGAGAATCGTTTGGACAAGACACTTGTGAAGTGGGAAGGGGAGGGCGGGTGGGAGCAGCTGATCGCATGGGGTGGTTTTAGATTCAACGAGGCGCAGTCTATCAAGAGGACGTATGAGCAGATCCTGAGAAGGCTCGAGGAAGAGCGGGTTAATTTTGATAATCAGTTGCATGCAGTGGAACGTAGTAGTGGTAGTCTTGGGAGGGGGAGTATATGTCTAGTATAGGCACGTTGAAATCGAAGGAGAACGACTATGAAGAGTTACTGTTGCTGTCGCATGATGCATATCACGCTAAGGAGATGGCGCAGGCGGAGCTGCATAGGTTTGAACAAGGAGTGATGGAGGAGAGAAACCAGCGGGATAAGGTAGTGGGGTGATAATTTTGTGGCGCAGTGACGGTGGTTGGAGTAGGAAGTTCATGAGAAGAAGGCGTTGGTTCAGCAGCGTGTTGAGATGAATCATCGATTGGAACAGCGAGAGCGTCTTCTTAAGCAACAGCAAGAATTGGAAAAATCGGGAGAGTTGGCGCTGAAGACGACTAAAGCGGTTGCCGATATGGCGGCGGGAATGACCCATAGAGTGGCTGAGGAGGAGAGGAAGAGGATGGACGATTATGAGGAGGCGTTTAGGAGGATAAAGGAGGCGACTGGCGTTAGCGATGTGAATGAAGTTATCCAGAAATTCCTCAATCAGGAGGGCACTCAAAGTAGTTTATTGAGCCTCGCAAATGAGTACCAGGAGAAAATAAACTGTCTTATTAACGAGTACACTACGTTGAAGGCTAGGGTGGATGATATGAAGTACTCGGCGAGTGGTACTACGGCTGGTGGAAGGGAGGTACAGTTGGGTAGCGGCCCTTGGTTCTGTCCTTGCACGTTAGTTGAGGAAGAATGTGGTGAATGTGTCTGAGAAAAAGTGTATTTTTATAATTTTAATCATTATTCGGAATGTTCATGTACTATACTTGAATATAAGAACACGTTTTGGAGATGTTATGGTGATTGAAGCCCAACTATGAATTTATTGAACATTTGCGCGGGTTTTTCTTCTTTTCAGATGGCGGAGGAGTTGGAGAAGCGACTGGCTGAGTCTATAGTAGAAGCGGAGCGAAACAAGACTAAGTATGAGCGGTTGTCGAAGATGATGGTAGCTGTGAACGCAGGTGGGTACAATAGGGCAACTCATGGTGTTTATGGAGGTGGAGTTTTTAGGAGTATTTCATCTGGCGGGGAAGTTGGAGGCAGTGGATTTGGGAGAAGAGGCGCTCGTGGAAGCAACAGAGGGCGGCGGCGGTGCGGTAGAGAGAGTCCTATCACAGGTGGAGTTGAAATTGTCTAAATTGGCGAACCTCATTCACTGGAGCTCTGGGGCGAGTAAGAAGATAGTATCAGCGTCAGAAGCGGCGTATTTTGAGGAGAGGGTATTGGACAAAATAGCTGATGTCCGGTCGGGGCTGTTGAGAGTTCGAATTGCTGATGGAGACCAGGAGGAAGAGGAGGAAGAGGTGGGGGGAGGGTCGTGGAGCTTGGAGGGAAAATTTCAGGAATTTATATTTTTTATGTTATTAATTCTTTATATTTTATGCCTATATTTGTAATATGTTGGAGTTTCACTCTAGTGATATTGAAAACACTAGTGAAAACATGTTTCATAAACTACTGCATATCACCGCGAATATCACGTTTTTCACGGAGTATTTCGCCACTTCACATGAAACGGGTGAAACTCTATTAGATACTATTCACCTACACTGTAGGGTGCAATGCTCGTGCTGTTGTTGAGCATTTCCGTGAGGACTTAGACTGTGTGCTGGTCGTGGTTGAATTTGGGTTAATCGATTATAGTTATCACCGTTTTTTGAGGAATTATTGGTGGGAAATAACAGTGGTATGATGTAGCCGATAGAGAGGGAGTGTAAGGTGGTGTTGTTGTCAGTACGACGATGATGATAAGGGACCATTGGCCTCTGGAGGGGTGGAGGAGGATGTATGGAATAGGAAGCATGTGAAGTGAGTGTGGTGGTGGTGGTGGCCTTGGTGGTCTTGTCGTTGTGATAGATACAACAGTCAGCAGATTGTTGACAAGCAGTTGAGGAAGGAGCGCAAGAGGGCTGCGGCTGCTGCTAATGGTGGTGGGAGTAAGAAGGCATGAACGTGTTTGTATTGTTGATGATGAGAATGTTGGCATCGCCACTATATGGATGTTGTGTTATTGGGAGTATAAGGAGAAGAGCCTGGTCGCGGCCTGTAGTTGGTGAATGGAAGCTCTTGGTATGAGAGGACAGTGGTAGGAGGCGATACTAGAGTGGGCGAGTGGTATTCTATCTCCTTGGGGCCTCCCGTGTCTCGGGCAGCTTTGCTGGTCTCTCCTCGTTATTAGTATTCCGAATTGAACTCCCTTGGAACGATGGTTGGGAGTAAATTATCATCTCACTGGTGGCCAATCGTTGGAGAATTCGACACGAGTTGTTGCGGATATCATGGCTATATGCTTGGCTCCATACTGTATGTATTATACGATGTGGCGAGGGAGTGGTATAATTTCTCAGCTTCCGTCTATGAAAAATGTCGATGCGGGCCGACATAGAGACGATAAGAAATCTCAACGGGCTGAAGGATGCAGATTTCTGTTGGAGTGTTGTACTCTGGAATGCTCGGGCGTGATCATGATGAGGCTCAAGTCTTCTTTGCCTTTTTGGTGAATCACTGTGACGACCTCACCATTTCACAGGTGTTTTTCTATCAACCATGTTGTGTGTAGTGAAGACATATGATAGGTCTACCTCAGTGGTTGCATCAGTAATGGCGGCATTCCCTCTCGTACGAGTATTGGCCTCCTCTTCCCATCGCCTGCCCGGTATGGCTGCAGCCGCCCTCCTAGCTGAGGCGTTGCCGAGGGGGAGTCGTGTGGAGATGTATGAGGTGCCCAGTCGAAGGGGACCTGTTGGCCATGGATGTGAATTCCGAGCCAGCAAACTCCATGGCAGGAAGGAGTGCTTGACTCTGCTAAAGTTACTCGATGTGAGAGGCGGTCGTATTGATTTTGAGAATTGCTGAAGGAGTGGTATGGTAGTGGTGTGTAGGTACCAGATTGTGATATCATTCCTGGTCATATAGAGAACTCCAGTCGTTGGTTGATCGGCAAGGACCTCTCCTCCTCTCCCTCCTCCCTTACCCAAATACCCAAGTTCATCGACTCCATCCGTTATGCCCCCGAGTGTGTATTGGAGCCCCTTTGGGCACGAGGCCCGATGGCCAATCAGGACGAGTCGATAAAGTCCTTCGTAAGCCGACTAACGTCGAGCCGTGTCTCATCGGACCTTTCAGATTGCCCGCCGTTTTTCGAGATCAGCCTCTCGACGATTTGCTGATGTCTTCGCAGCCTCCCAGTGTGGGGCCTCGGGCGATACCGTCAGCTTACGGAGTTGCGTCCCTCATGCCTACACGACTGAGGCCTGGCGGAGATCTGTTCTGTGGGTGAGTGCAGAATTTTTTTTTCGAAAAAGTCTATGGCAATTTAAAAAATTGTAATCGTGCTCGGAGAGTTAGTACACAAAATTTTCGGTTGATATGAGCAGTGGCGAAAATGTTAGGCTTCCCACACGAAATCTTGTGCGTATTGCGAATACCTCAGGGGCCGTTCTTGGACATGTTGCGACCTAGCTCGGCAGCTCCTACTGGTGACTGCCAACTCGACTTGCCTGTGGACGTCGGGGAGTTTCTGCAGAGGTCCATCGCCACGGGTGGCCGAGTATGGACGGTAGCAGGCGGCACTAAGAGGCTGGAAAAGGATCTGGCGCGGTAGTAAAGGGCACTCCATGTGGGACGTGATTACGGTGTGCTGCGGGAAGGGTATATGCACTTCGGAAAACTTCTGAGGCTTCGGGCGGTAGTAGTAGTTTATAGGGTCCTTGGTCGTAGATCATATACTCTCCTCGGAATTCCTCCTGATGGTCAACCACGGTAGAAGCTATTCAAAAAACGCAAAGTTTTTTTCATATTTTCGACGGTGAAGGTTCATCGAGGGTAACCCTAGTGTGACCAAGCCCGAAGCGAGACCACTTAGCCCATCCGACTTTGCGGCCCTTCTTGGTCCCGAGGCCCAAGCTATAGTAGCAGTGATGTCCCCGAAGGAGTTGTTCTCGTTGGTTGCCGGGCAAGGGCAGCTGTCTGAACTCAGCGCTGGTGCTGTTGAGGCCCTCAGTGCGGAAACGGAGGTAGACGTATTGGACATGTATTGGTGTGAAGGGGATGTGTTACGGAAACCATTCAAAGGGAATGCGGGGGTCTGGACTGGGGTAGGTAATGATGATCATTGCGGGTGAGTAAATGGCACCTTGTATGAGATGGAGCAGTTTTTGTAGGATTTTTGGGTTTTCGTTTGGCTCGGAGGTCTTACCGCACGCCGACGAACCTGCCTTTGATACGAAGGTGACAGTGTATGCTAGGAGAGGAAGGTCTAAGGAGGACTTACAGGACCACGCACTGGACGTAGAAATTTCGCTTACATCAAATGGTCATTTATAGTAACTGGACAGATACTGGGAATTTCTCGACAGCCAGAGCGGAGCGAGATAAGTCATGACGCTTGGCCGGCCTTCCCTTTGGGCCACAGTCAAGGCCTCGTTGAGTTCAACCGTCTGCGTGTCGCTGCGATGCCCAGCTTGTGCGTTGCGGGCAGCGGATGGTATGTCGGGGAGAGTATGGGAAAGGTTATTGGGGACCTGTCCAGTGGGGTGTTGGGGCGTCTCGTGAGGAGGCTTGGGGCCGATGGCTTTGTGGAGCGGGAGAGGGACGTCGACTGGGCCAATAGGAGTGGTCACTCGTTACTAGGTGAGCTTTCGTCAGTGGGAAAACATGCGTATGCACAACTACATCTGTTGGTGACAACATAAGAATTCTGAGGAAATTGAACGAAAATTCTCCTTGGTCTCTGTACATTTCTACCCGAATTCGCATGTAAAGTTTACATACGAATTCGGGTTTACATTGTAAACTGTGGTAATTGATACGGAAATTCTTCAGCTCAGCTGAGGGAAGATATACTCTATACTCACTTACTATACTATACTATTATACTACTCTATTCACATATACTCTAATACTGGCTATCATAGTACTCTCTGTTGAGGTAGATGCAATTGCTTTAGGCACTTCAGTGGGAAGCTATGACGTACGAGTAGACTAGTAGTAGGAATGATAAGTTTACCAATACGTTATTTTCACAAACTGGTGTTTGGTTCACGTCCCCTGGCTTGGCAACGATGGTGGGTTTTCCTTGGGAGCTCCCCCCCTGAGCTCAGTTGCATGTCCTGTCCCTTTGTGTGCTATGATTATGTTGCTCCGTCCTAGCTCAATCGCGTGGTCGGCTGAGTGGACCTACTCCGCAACTGTCCAGTCTTGGTGCTGAGACATTCCCGTTCTTGATGGATACTCAAACTTCGGCGTTCATTAACATGTGAGGCATCGTAGACGGTAGCGCCATAACACAGCATTGTGCCAGTGGGATACCCCTGTAGGCCTCATTGAGAATATGACATGTGGGAGTAGTGTAGCTCTAATCATAATGGTTCAAATAGCCAGGTATGGATGACTCTATTTTCACAGTGAGTTCGGCAACTTATGCTCCTTCTAGTTGTCTAGCTCCACCCTTTGATCTTTGTGGTGAATTGCCAGGCGACAACACATTCGGGTGCAGTAGTATTCACTGTGTTTATTCGTCACTCTTGAACTACAGCTCAGCTTGATAGATTTTTCTCCAATACCATGCATTGGTTCATCTCCTCCGCCCTATCGTGGGCCCTAGCAGCAGGTGCGGGCTATGCGGCTTATCTAGTATATGTCAACGGTGGCAAGAGTAAGTACACCTGACTGGTCTTATTCCTAAGCCGATTTCAGAGCCGATCGCTGAGACTGAAGTCGCTGAACAGAAGCCGAACCATCGAACGCGGTCTAAGAAGGGAAAAAGCAAAAAAGAAAGAGTCGATGACGCGAAGTCCTCGAGCATTCCAGTGAAATCTTCACAGATAAAGAAATCAAAGTAAACAGAGTGCAGTTCTGAGATGTTTTCTTAACGAGTTTCAGGACCAACTCGGGGAGGAACGTCGATGCAGTGGAAGATCCCAACGCCCCTCTGCCGCCCAAAGAAGAGGAGCCTCTCCCTGAGCGTGTGGATGTAGCACCACCCACCCAAGAACTATCCGAATCGGAAGATGACGAGGAGAACTGGGCGGCTGTTGAGAAGAAACAACGAGAAAAGAAAGTAAGCGCTTCTGAGGGCATTGGCAGTGTGAAAATTATTACACCTTCTTACCATATAAGGCTTCTTAAGAACATATAATGCACTATGGAAATTGTAGAGAATAAATACAGCATGATTTACATCCTATCCTGTTATTGGAACTACGCTCGGTTTTTATAAATTCTCCGATCGGGTGCACGAAACGCATATTTGGTAAGAGTTGATATCAGAGTACATCAAGACTAGTATTTGTACTATGCACATAAGGCGTCTGTGAGTCGCGTTTTGAGTGAACCTATGATGAGTACTACAGTAGGATATGATAATCTTATTTCTTGTCCATGTAGGCGAAATATATTTTATTTCATAATGAGAAGTCTTATTCCATTCAGGCGGCGGAGCCCGAACTCTATCCGGACTCCCCAGTGGCTGCTGTCGGAGCCGACGATGCGGCTTTCTATACAGTCGCAGCCCGACGGCATCAGCGAGCGAAGGACGCCCAGACTATTGCTGATGAGCGAAAAGCATCTAAGAATAGACGTGGGTGTCATGACGTGTGTGGTGATGGGAATTTATAGGAGTTTTAGGAAAGCGCGAGAAGCAAAAGCAAATTAAGGCGCAGGAAGACGCTATGCAGAAGGCCAGACTGGAGGCCTATAGAGCGCAGCAGAGGGCTGCGGGTGTCCGCTATTCGACCAACAGGAAAGCATTCTGACTTCAGAATTATGGACAACTATACTGTCGTTTCTGCTCACTTTGATCAATTGGTGTGGCGTTAGTACTTCAGTATCGGCGGTGACTCCGATCACGGGGAGGCGTCGGTGTCGTATGGGATATAAGGCTCCTATGAGGACTCCCCCTCTATATCTTGAGTAGTTGTCCTCATCTCAAGGCAAGGAGGACCTATCTGTATCATTGAACATAGTTGTTGTATTATTCGTTTCAATCGAGAACATTGATATTCATTCGGATTGTCTCAGCATTCTTCCAGCAGCCTATAGCTTGGCCACCAAAGGAAGCTCTCGCAAGCAGCTAGACTCGACCAGACCTCCGCCGTGACTCCTCTAGCCAGCTAAAGAGGTGCCTTCTCATCCGTCAAGTTGAACTGCCTGTATTGTCCAACAGCCCTCTGGTCATCACGTTGCGTTCTGAAGCACGTATTCTGTATGAGTTCATTCACTGCAGTCATCGTAACGGTTTTCTGTGTGAGTTTAATATTCCTTATTCACTCTCTCTATAATGTCCTCTTCCCCAATGTCCCAGGACAGTGCTCACTTCAGCGACGCTGAATCTGAAGCAGAGTCCGAGTCGATCGTTTTCAGTACAGCTTCGGAATCGAGCCCGACCAGTCTACCACAACGGCTAAAGGATGTCTTCGGAGGTGAATTCCCACCGGCACCTGATCCTCCCACTGGATTTGCCATTCATCTCAGATAACGAGGTCAGTCTAGAGGCCCTTTGTGCGGACCCTAGCAGATATTGGAAACGTGTTGTGGTCCTGGCCGGAGCTGGTATTTCCGTGAGTGCGGGAATACCAGATTTCCGCTCCCCCAACACGGGCATATACGCCAACGTGAAGCAGTACACGAACAGCCTGCGGGCCCCGGAGGACCTCTTCTCTATCCACTACTTCCGACATGATCCCTACCCCTTCTATACACTGTGTCACGAAGCCCAGTTGGGTAGAGGAGCCCACGAGCCTACTGCTGCCCATAGGTTCATAGCGTGGCTTGCCGAGAAGGGAGCCCTACTACGATGTTATACTCAAAACATCGATAGCTTAGAAATTGATGCGGGCGTGCCTGAGGAGCTTGTCGTCCAGGTGAGAGAATCCCGCCGAATTTCAATCGGTCGATCCTAGTTCATTCAGGCCCATGGACATCTTCGTTCAGCACGATGTATCGATTGTGGATGTCCTTATGGCGGTGACATGCGCGACTTGTTGAGCTCTGAGAAGCCGGTCCACTGCGCTGCCTGTTACGGTCTGGTCAAGCCGGATGTGGTATTCTTCGGCGAGAACCTGCCCGAGCGATTTTTCGATTGTGTCCAAGAGGATTTATCCCAAGCAACGCTGTTAGTCGTGATGGGCACCAGTCTACAGGTCGGACCATGCAACCAAATACCTATTCTACTGCCAAGGACCACTCCTAGGCTTTTGGTGAATCTAACCCCGCCCCCACACGGCATGTTCCGGTTTGGTCGGGCTGACAACTACCGGGATGTCTTCGTCGAGAAGGATACTGACTCTGCCAGCGAGGAGCTGAGGAAGAAGCTCGAGAAGGCTGGGGGATTGACACCATCCAGGTTGTGAGTTAGTTCATCTTGACAGTTGAGATAGTTTGTGTCTATACCACTTTACCGTAACGTAACGCCTCCCGAGCCACACTGATAATAGTATTAGACCACTTCACCGAAATTTAGTATGGACCAGAGTTTGTTACAGTTAGTAAAATAGAGCCCGATCGAGATTGATACATCAGGCTGTTCGTCTTTCGACTGCATTTCAGTGTCGACGATGGGCTAATGTCAACCGTAGTAGTACCAATCGTCACGATAAGATTAACGACCAAACCCGCGTTGTCATTGTCACTACCCCACCCGACTCAAGTCCAGACTGACACAGCTCAATGTGGTATGCATCTCTGAAACATCTACAATGTAGATTCTACATCACTCCCATGTTGAATAGACAAGAATGACACTGTTCATGTCAAGGCTGACAACAGAGTTAGGCGCATCTTCGGGATGAACATCCAAGAATGACGATACGCACTTCAAATTAATCACGTTGCGAAAATATGACATCCAAGAATGACACCGTCAAAAGCAAGATTGACACGGCTATTCATATTACACCAAAGATTGACCACAAATCGAGTAACGGCTTTTCCTGCGGTTGTTGGTAGAAATCCGAGAAGGCGACTGTCCGGATCCTCGTGCGCAGATGAGTTGTTGACCTTCGGGCACCATAGTCAAACTGTGACAGTCTTCCGTGGACGGCGGTGCTACCCGGCCCGGGTAGCACGGTCACAACTGTGCAGCACGGTCACACTCGACGCCGTCGGCGAACATTGCGAGGATTCTGTACTGATAGTTCCCAAAAAGCTACTCTCTAGGTTGCATCCATGGACCATGGTTCAACCGTGACCGTAATACCCGGGAATAATCTAACGCAACTCCTCGACGTCCTCACCGATACGTCAAAAGGGCATGTGCAGCTTCATTACTACTGCCCTACGTGGTCGTGAGGGCTCCCTTTCCTGGAGACCACTAAGCTACTTCCTTCCGTCGCAGTTCAAGCCCACCTTCCTGTGGACCACCGGCCTGATATCCGATCCCTCCCACTCCCGACCGACGCGGGCTGGCGAGACTGTGGTCGTGTCTGATATTTTTCCAGTTGGTCATGCATAGTCGAAAGCTGCTGCACAGTAGAGACTCCAAAAACCAGTGGGACCATGTCTACCTTACTTGCTCATGGATATGCGCTATAGACTGCTTCTGCTCCAACAGCTTTGGAGTTATGAGCGTCACTGGTCCGCCATCTGATGAGACTGTCCCATGTCTCGAGCCCTATAAAATACCTCTCACCATGTTTGATAGGCTTCGCTCCCTTGGTGACCACGCGAGCGGGCTTGTTGGTAATCCTGAGGGAGTCGCACAAAGAGGCTATACTAGAGCGCAGTGAAGTTGTGTTACGGAGGAGTACGCTGCTTTGGCCTCTGGGACGGGTCCGTGGTTGGTCGTGGGGGTGAGAATTTCAGATCTGTCAATGGTCACCCGTCCTCTTGGCCGTGTCCCTACCTTGGGACATCTGCTGCCCCGCCATCTTGTTCATCTCATTGACCAGCTCCTCCAGCTCCTTCACACGATGCAGGAGTATCGGACATCGAGTACACTACGAAGAGACCATGGCTCCACACCACAGACCAACCATCACCACCGATGAGTTAGTGCAACTGGCCTTGAGCCTATCTATCGTCCCAGACTTGCGCTCGAGCTCGCCCTTGAGGTTCTCTACCTCTGCTTGTAGTTGATTATTCTATAACAACAACAACGACCCCACAGAGGCCCTCCACACTCGTACCTCTCGTAAGTGGTGCGCTAATATGCTAGCCGGACGTGGCCGAGGGGACGTCTTGGCCGTACCATCAGCCGGTGTCATCGTTCGGCCTTCTGCTGGTGGCCACCGCGTCACCTAACCACCGCGTGGCCAAGACATCGCCTTTTACCCAGTACCAGCATGTCCGCCTTTGTTCGTCGTTGCTTCCAACGAGCGTAGAACAATGCTATATGAAGGGCCGCTCTCGACCGGACTAACTGTCGATGGTCTTCTAAGAACTCCTCAATGGTTCGCTGGTCCTCATCCGCCGTATCGCGCTGTTTATACCTCAACATCCGAACAACATCGCCGCTCATTCCTGGTTCGCTGTCGCTCACAATTCAGCCCGTAATCGTCCTTCCTGTCGGAGCTGATGACGCAGCATAGCGATCTCCTCGTCCTTGGCAGCTAGAGTGGCCCTCAGTTTGCTCATCGTGTTAGTAGCCGCTGAGATCAAAGCCACTTGGTGTATCTCTCACAGTCGTTTCAATCATCACCTTCAGGCGTATCACGTACCGCGTCCGGTCGGCTTTGGTCTGAGTGGGTCCACTACTAGCTCTACTGGAGGCTGATAGTTACCCGGTGTCCGCGAGTGTCCCTGTGAAGCGGGCCCACGTGACGGCGAATGAGGAGCAATAGATGTTGCCGTTGGACCACCACCTGCTGGGCCAGTGCCATGAGATGTGCATCAAACCTTACCGCTTACCTCGACCAGCGGTACCGTGAGCTGCCCCGCTTGGCCGGAACGAAGTCTGGGCCGGTAGTATTGGTACCGCCGGCCAGTTTCCCTTACTAGCCGGGGAGGTCACTGAGCGAGTCTCGACCCGTCTGCCACTCGGCCTGTTAGCCGGCTAGATATTGGTCAGTCCATCGCCTCCAACGTCTCACTTCAGAGTGGTGTAGTACTTGTCTAGTCTCGCAGTGTCTGGCTGCTGAGGACCATCATCGGCCATGGCTTGCTGGTCCAGCTTAGGGGCCTCGATGTGCCTACCCTACTTTATCACTAAGACCACTTTACGTCCCTGTTACACACCGTAGTGACTTCCTGGACTCAGCCAAACGATGAGCGTACGACTCTCCGATGGCTTCCTCTGACCGTGATGAATCACTGTAGGGAACGTGTCACAGTCATGGTCCTATTGGCAGGACCACCTCGATTGCGACTCGGACGACGATGACGA